AGGTATCCAGACAAGAGGACTTTGTGGTGGATGAGGGAGGCCTGCTCTAATGGAGGGGAGGGCGTGTGAGGGGAGGAGCGGACCCAAGAACAGTTCTGGTAAGCACAGGCTATTAGAAGATGCTGCCCCCCCCCCCTTACAGAGCTTTCCAGAACCACAGAGAAGCAGCCGAGCACAGTGTGAAGCTGAGACTCTGAAGTCGACAGCCTGAGCTCCAAGCCTGGCTCCATCACAAAAAAAATCCTTGAGTAAATTTCTTAAGCACCTTAAACTTCAGTTTCCCCCTTTGTAAATTATAATTCCTAACATGCCAGGTCATTGAGAGGGTCAGAGATGAGGCAAGTAAAGCACCTGGCACAAGGTAGATAATAGACGAGAGGCATCATAATTAGTCCTCGGGTTCATTAGAGATTCCTAGGATCACTACAGGAGGCTGGAAGGATGAATGAAAAGAAAACACTCAACATACATATTAGTGTTCAGGTCCATAAATACTTACATGTGTGCTGCACAGGGCAGCAAAGAGAGGGGGTCTCTTTCACTTAATAACGATGAGTCAGGGGGCCTGCCTATGGAAATTTGAGCCAAGGGACGATAATTTGAAGTTTCTCCATTGAAATAAGAATGCATTTTTAATTTGCAAATTAGCCCAGAGTAGCCTGCTTAACCTAACATCTCTGTCATCAAGTGGCCTCCTTGACACTTTGATGCAGGTAACTACAGCTCTCAGGGAATACTAGGAGACCCCTGGTCCAGACTCTCATCTCTAGGTAGAAGCATGCATTAGAGATGTCAGCCAAGCACAGACTTAATATAGCTGCTCAGATCTAGGGAAGATTATTTGTCCTACATTGAAAGAGACAAGCATTTACTGAGCATCTATTGTTTAGAAGGCAGACATAGGATTGTGTGGTATAACCATTCACTTATTCAAAATTTGAGTTCCAACAGGCACCATAGAAGGTGTCAGGAATGCACAGAGATCAGGGAGACAAGCAAACAGTGATGAATACCACCAAAGAATGAGACCAGAGCAGAGACCCAGCACCTAAGCTTGTCTTGACAGGGAGGGGTGCAAGAAACCTTCCCAGAAGGATGAGACCCAGTGGAATGGTGAAGCCCAAATGATAAGCAGTTAGATCAGGTGAAGGAGAACCATGAGTGAAGGGTTGGGGGCAATAGAACATTCCACGGAAAAGAAAGAGGAAGGCCAAGGCCTGGCAGCAAGAGAGTCAGAGAAGGAATTGCCAGCAGTTCACTATGGTTGGAACAGAAAACAGTCTGCAACAGGGAGCTGGTCATAAAGGACTGATATGCCTGGAAGAGAGTAACCAGATTTAGAAGATAAAAATACCAGTTGCTAAGCCTGATGAACAGCACATCAGCCAGGTGATCAGGTCAACACCAACAGTGATGAGTCATGTGGATAGTACGTATCCTTAATCAGATGTGAGGAGAATAGCTCTTTGCCTCTGTGGTCTTCCTCCTCCAAGCACATCTCGCCCACCTAATCATGAGAAAAACATCAGACAGCTCCAACTTGAGGGGCATTCTACAAAATTCCTGACCAGCCCTCCTCAAACTGCCAAGGTCATGAAAAACAAAGGAAGTCTGAGATGCTGTCACAGCCAAGAGGAGCCCAAGGAGATGTAATGGTCTGATGTAATGTGTTGGGATCCTACCTGAAACAGAGAGGACAGCAGGGAAAGTAAGGAGACCTAATAAAGTGTGCACTTTTGTTTATGATAGTATGTCAATATTAGTTTATTAATTGTGATAAATGTGTTGTACTGATGTAAGATATTAATAGGAGAAATCAGGCACAGGGTAGATGCTAATGGTACTGTCTTTATAATTTTTCTGTAGAACTAAAATGATTTTAAAATAAAATATTTAAATATACAGGATGCCTTGTTAAATCTGAATTTCAGATAAACAATGACTTTTTTTCTAGTGTGTGTATGTGTATCCCAGGCAAAATTTAGAGTGTAATTATACTAAAGTATTATTAAGTATTTATCTAAAATTCAAATTTTACTGGGCATCCTGGCAACTTTGCCTAGAAAGGAGTTCATCCTGGGAGTAGCAGGAGGGCAGCGAGGAGCTACAGAAGGTCACAGCCAGCGAGGCACATGCTGTACAACTTCAGTGGAGATGTATGTGCAGGTAAGGAAACTGAGGCTCAGTGATCTTACCAGTCTCCTTGCTCACCCAGTGGAGAACAAGGATCTGAACCAGGCCTGCCTCACCCCAACTCTATGTCCAACCATTATATCCCTATGCCTCAGAGAACTCTTTCTAGAAACATCCACTAGTATTCACTAGTGTTGGCAAAGAACAAAGGAGGATCAGTAAGCAGATGCTCAGCCTAGAGGACTCCGGCAAAAGCCTGCGAGTACGCCTGAGCACCGCGACTCAGGCCTTCCTCAAAACACAGGGCCATGCTTCCTGTTCTCCAGCCCTCACCATCACAGTCAGAGCAGAGACACTCAGAGCTGTGAACTGCAGCATTGGAAAGAACTTTAAGGCCATTCGTTTACCACCACCCTTTCCGCCCAAACAGGATTCCATTCGTAATTGTCCCCATGAATGTCACCTCCTTGGTTTGTCCCTTAATACTTCACTCTAACTTGTGACAGTCTTTCCTTACCTTTAAGTCCTTGCTTCCAATCTGTTCAGATGTCAGACAGCAGCTTACCAAGCTAATTAGACCTGTGTGCTAAAAGAGCCAGTGGTCTTTGAGCAAGGGTCCAAAAAGCTCATTAGTGGGAAAAAAGAAACTTTGTAATGTGTATATTCTGGCTGCTCAGGGATCTTTGGGGCTTATCTCCTCCCTTTTTTGTTCCAAATAAATGATGCTGCTTCATACCTGGCTTCTGCAAAGATGAGGTTAAATAACTACGTTTAGCCTAGCACAGCCCAAGAAGTGCATTAGCTTATTTTAGTAGCACATGAGAGAACACAGAGGGGCAACTGAGGGTGACGTGTACTCGGCCGGCCGGCAAAGTCTCCTGCAGGAAATCATTGACGCCAGCCAGCTGCTCCAGGCCCCTGCTGGGCTGTTTCTCCTCCTCTCCTATCTCTCAGGGGATGGCCATCCCGCTGTGGCTTGCCAGCTCTGGAAGACAAAAAGGGCAAAGCTCTCAGACTGCTGCGTGCCTATCTCCAACACATCCCCTCCTGAAGCCACTGACAAACAGAGCCCTGCCAGGGGTGGGGGCAGCAGGAAGTGTTCAGCAATCCTCTTTTCTCTCGAAATGGGTTTGGAAATGGGGTAATCATCTAAATGGGCAGTCCTGATGAGTCGATAAGCGTAACTCCCATTTTATTACGGTGAAGAGGCCACCTCAGCGAGCGTAATCCCTCTGCTGGGCAGCCAGCAGCCACTCCATCCCTCTACCACGGCTGCATTAGTCTGATGGGAAGAGGCTGAGCTCTAGACAAACTGCATTTCATAATGGCCTTTAAAAGCACAGATCATGGGTTATGCCAGGGCCAGGGCACTGCTGACCAAACTACCTCTCCCCTTGACATTGCCCTCTTCCTCCCCTAAATGCTGATGGGCATGTGGGGTCCAAATGCAGAGCCACTTTCAGCCAGAAAAGGTGAGGAAGATGTCAGGGAAGATCCCAACTTAAAATGGATTAAGGAAACCATGGGTGCTGGCCTCTAACAATCACAGTATCTCTTGGGGGCCTCTGTCTCTGAATCTGCATTATGTGATTTATAAGGCTTTTTCCTCTCCCATATGAAAACACACAGATGCATGATTCTCCAACCCAACAGGAATTCCACCCTTATAATCTAATTCCTTTGTGTTGTAAAGGCTGCTTTATCTTGTATACTTCCCTATTGGAATTATAATCTTCTAGTTTATTAACGAACTTTTGTCTGGGGGCTAGCGGTTAGTGGTGTCATCACAGCTCACAGCAACCTCCAACTCCTGGGCTCAAGTGATCTTCCTGCCTCAACCTCCCAAGTAGCTGGGATTACAGGAACCTGCCATCATACATGGCTAATTTTTTTATTTTGGTAGAGATGAGACCTTACTCTTGCTCAGGATGGTCTCAAACTCCTGAGCTTAAGCAATCCTCCCACTTCAATCTCCCAAAGAGCTAGGTTTATAGGCATGAGCTATATGACTTGCATTAATGAACATGGAAGATGATGGTAGGGTAGTTGCTGGAAGTGAGGCCCCAAGGGAATAGAATAGGCAGGGAAGGTGTAGCCAGGAAGATGTCAGGGGTTTAGGAAGGGAAGTAGGAAAACATCCAAGGCTACATCGTCTGGGGCCCATCCTATGGGCCACAGTCCACACTGAGAATGGATGAGGTCAGGCAAATGGACTGCAGATTAGAGCAGCTGGTTCTGCTGATGGAACTCAAGGACTTCTTAAACAAGTCACTATGGTGCATGTCCATTTGACTTCTGAAACGAAGCTGTACCTTTACCCATTCATTGTTATACTCACTCGCTGTTCAGCCAGGAGGCAGAGAGGTGCTGCAAAATTAGACTGGATTTAGATTCAGAATCTGGGCAGTGCAGTTTTACTTGTTCACACGACCTTGAATAAGGTATTTGCCATTCTAAATAAGCAAAACAGAGCTAATGCCTGCCTTGCACACTTCATGGGCAGGTTTGCCACATTGCACAACTCCAGAGGGTGTCGTGCCCATGAATGTTGACATGAACAGTGTAGGCCAGCAATGGGCAACATACAACTCACACTTGCCATAACTCCCAAGTGTTGCAGCCCCACTTATATAGTTAAAAAATGTCAAAAGAGGAGAGGTCAGAGGTAAGTGGCTATAGAAGTCGGGCATACCTGGAATCCAGAGGAATCAGGACCGTGACTTATGCTTATCTCTTCAAGTACATCATCATCGGAGACACAGGTGTGGGGCAGTCATGTCTTCTCCTGCAGTTCACAGACAAGTGGTTCCAGCCCGTCCACGACCTCACAATAGGTGTGAAGTATGGAGCACGTATGGTCAACCTTGATGGGAAATAAATCAAACTGCAAATCTGGGATACGGCTGGGCAAGAATCCTTCTGTTCTATCACCCATTCCTACTACAGGGGAGCAGCGGGAGCATTGCTGGTATATGAAACTTTCAACCACCTGACCTCATGGTTACAGGATGCCCGGCAGCACTCTAGTTCCAACATGCTTATCATGCTGATTGGGAATAAGAGTGACCTAGAGTCTCGCAGGGATGTGAAGAGAAAAGAAGGAGAGGCCTTTGCTCGGGAGCACGGACTTACATGTATGGAAACTTCAGCTAAAACAGCCTGCAATGTTGAAGAGGCCTTCATTAACACAGCCAAAGAAATATATAGGAAGATCCAGCAGGGTTTATTTGATGTCCACAATGAGGCAAATGGCATCAAGATTGGGCCCAAGCAGTCAATTTCAACATCACTGGGACCCAGTGTCTCTCAGGGGAACTGTCGTGACATGGGGTCCAACTCTGGCTGCTGCTGAACATCTGGCCTGAACTCTTTTTTTACTTCCTGGAACAGCTTCAGATCAATAGGCTTAATGAAAGAGGTCTTACTTGCTTGGACTGAAAACAGCCTCTTTTCAAAGTGTGATGTTTTGCCTTTCCACTGTAAGACCAGGGCAGAATTTGGGCCCTTGCTGACCTGTCCTCCTTCAGGGATGTGAACATTCCCTATAGATTAGGGCTCTTCTCATTCTCTTATTTTAAAATTTCTAAAATGTTAGGATCAAAGTTGTCACAGTAATTCAAAAATAAATAATTTAATAAGCATAAATAATTTCATACTCATATACAATCTGTTGCCCACCAAGAATTAGGGTCAAGAACATTCTGCTTGGACACCTGAGATTATTGTGATCTGAGTGGCCATTAGATGATAGATCCTCTGCTGAGTAATTTCACTGTGTTCTTTTCCTGCCTTTGGGGGTCTACTTGCCACTTGGTTTTTACAGAAGGCAGTCCCTTCTATTTGCTTAAGGATGCTGAGTTCTTCTTTACTATCTAATTGCTAGTTTCTCTTAGAATAACTACAAAACTTCTGAGAGCAGAAGAGTTGGTCCTAGACCTATGGCCACTTATTACCTAAAGAAAAATCTGTTCTCTGTTCATTTTGTTTTAGGGCCCAGATCTACTATTGTAGTGTCTTTCATCAGACTTCTACTATTTCATCATACGTATTCTAAACTAGACCTAGTTAGACTTTGTACTTTAATCACGCTAATCTGCTTACTGAACATGACACATTTATTCCTATTTCCATATCCTTACACATGCCCGACTCTTTCACTAAAATTATATTTAAAAGTCAAAAAAAATCCTTCTTTAGGAAGCCTTCAGTGACTGACCCAGGGACTTCTAAGCAATCATTGAAAGAGTACCTTTTATCTTTCATATGTTATCATATGTATATTCGTATGTGTATTTATTTATATATAACTTTGTAAATATGTTTTGTAGTTGTTTTCTGTCTGGAATCTGTCTCCTCATATATGTTGTGAACACCTTAATAACAGAATCCATACCATCCTTTTATTTTTACAAACCACTCCCCCCACCATTCTTTCACAGTGCCTAGTGCTACTCATTATGTGATCATTGAGTTTGACTGAAATATTTAAGAACTTAAAGTTTATTTTAGGCTTTAGAGGAAACAAAAAAGGCCTTAAAGTCATCCCTTTGTAACTCTACCTAGCTCTTCCATCCCCTTGCCCTGGTTACTATATTATTCTTTCCCCTTTCTGTTCCCTGGCTCTTTACTTCCATTCCATGCAGCATAAATTAAGGCTGCTTATTACCAAGTGGTCAAATGACTGGGTACTTCTCCAGCCATTCTCCTTTTCAGAGCATATAATACTGTCCTAGCCAAATTTGCCTTTGCTTCACTCATCATGCAGGCTTCTAGGTCAGTTGATATATCCTTTTTTCTTAATGTCCCATTTTCTTCCACAGCATTGTGGTTGATAAGTTGTTTCTTTATTAAATATATGCATGTATCCAAAAAAAAAATGTCAAATGACATAAGCTGCATTAGCCATAAACACTACTAACACAGTACTGTTATATTAGCCACATTCTAGAAGAGGGTGCTAGCTAGATCAAAAGAATTTTAAAAACCCGAAAATTTAGTAGATCAAGTTAGAGCAAGAAAAGATATATTCACAAAAAGGTAAAATTTAGTAGATCAAGTTTTGCATTCTATCCAATTCATCCATCATGTCACCCTTTGTGATTCAGACTACAAGAACCAATGAAAAGAACAGATTAAATAGGAGGTATGGCCCAAATCCAGGGTAAGGCAAATACCTTTCATTCCATATTACATGTCTCCCTGGGCCAGGGACACTCCAGGGATCTCAGTAAAAACAGGCTGCCATGATGGACATCTCAGATCAGGACAGGAAGGTGGAAATCAGAAATGTACAGCCCAAAAGTGTTTCCTTGGATTTCATATCCCCTCATATACCAACTTGTCTCAGAATAGCAGATCCTGATGGCTCCCTCTCTTCCTGTTATGGATTGAATGTTTGTACCTGTTTGAATTTGAGTTCAAATCCACATGCTGAACTCTAATCCCCAAAGTGATGGTATTTGGAGGTAGGGCCTCCCTGGGGAGTAATTAGGCCATAAAGATGGAAGCTTCACAAATGAGATCAGTGCCCTTAGAGGAAGAGGCCAGAGAGTTCACTTGCTCTCTGTCTGCCTTACAAGGACACAATGAGAGTCAACTGTCTAAAACCCAGAGAGGTCCTCACCAGAACCCAGTCGTGCTGGCATTCTCATCACAAACTTGCCAGCCTCCAAAACTGTGAGGAACACATATCCATTGTTTCTAAGCCACTCGGCTATGGTACTTTGTCATAGTGGTCTGAACGGACAAAGATACCTCCCATGGAGCACATTTGCCTAGGAAAGGAGAGAGACCCACAAAATCCTGACTCTGCTACACTGCCCACTACCCCCACAGACTAAAAAGCCCCTCTCATTCTTCCCACGTCCATTGGCAAGGTTCAGATCAGGCAGGGTAAAAATGATGAAATTATGTACAGCCCCTTGATCCCTTACTTTCTTTCCTGGGGGTTAGGGGAGTGAAATGAAAACAATGGAAAATACTAACCTTTATCCCCCCTCTCCATTTCCCCCTTCACTGCCCCAATTCAGGTGGTCTGCATCAGATGCTGTCTAACATGACCCCCCTGGTGCCAAGCCCCTTTACCCTCCAGACTTCAACACAGTACCCCTCTCAGAGCGTCTGCTCAAAAACACAGCTCTTTGCTGGTCCCATCCCTGTGTTTGTGACAGCCTAAACAGCATCTCCAAGCCTAGAGGGCACCATCTCAGCCACAGGCTTGTTCCCAACTTCACTTCTAGCTACTACCCAACCCACCTCCCCACCCAGGTATCCTAAATTGCAGCCCCACGGGGTGGCTCTCCATTCCTAAACAATCTCCTTACACCTGTTCATTCAATACAAGTTTTGCTGAGAGCAGTTAGGCACTGTGCTGGGCATTGGAAATATTGTAGATGCAAACCCAACCTGGATCCTGGAGCTCACAATGTTTTGGGAAAAACAGACATCAATCAAACAGCCACAAAAAATAAATGTGTAATTATAAACCCTGATATTTGATAAGGAAATGTGCTCTGAGAAGTACAAGGCAGGAGGGCAGAAGCAGTCTGGGGGACCAGGGAAAGGCTCTATGAAGAGGTGATATTTGAGCTGTTACCTGAAAAATGAGAAGAGATGAATTAGGCAGAAGGGTGGGAGAAGAGGGTGGTGGCAACAGCAAAGAGCTTTCCAGGCTGAGGGAACTGCCTGGGCCTGGGCCCTATGAGTGGGCCAACGCTGCTTGGGACAGAGCTGGGGGTGCCGGTTCATGATGGAGCTGGGGAAGTTGACAGACCAGAGCATAAAGGTCCTTAGAGGGCCTGCTAAAGATCTGAGACTTCACCCTAAGAGAAATAAGAAGACATTAAGAGTTTTTAAGCAGGGGAGGGGGTTAGTATGGGGAGTTTGTAACGTGATCAGACTTGCATTTAGAAAACATTTCAGCTGTGGTAAAGAGAAGGGGCCAGAGGGCTCAGGGTGGATGTGGGGGCTGCTCAGGTGGAAACTGCATCCATCCCAGTGAAGACATGCAGATGTAAAATTGACCTGGGAGCTGACAGTGGAAGAGTAAGCCAAGCAAATGAATTTACCAAGCCAGAGTTTATAGAACCAGATGGATGGGTGGTGCCATCTGGAAAGTTGGAACACCAGAAGATGATCAGATTTTGGTGAAAAGATTCTGAGATCATTTTGGGACAGAATGGGTTTGCAGGGCCTTTGAAGCTTCTATGTGGAAATAACAGTGATGGACGGGTCCAGGATGGAGACGTGCATTTTGACAGTCATCTGCACACAGACTGCAATGGAAGATGTGGACATAATGAGAATGCCTTATGGCATCATGTAAAGCCACCTTCTCTCTCCAGTCACTCCACTGGTACCTGTCCCCACACAGGGACATAGGCCTCTGCTGATCCCACACTCCTCTCTACCTGCTCCTGCTGCTATAGAGCTCTTGTATGGTTTTATGGCCACTCACTTACATGTCTATCTTCCCTAAGATAGACACTTATGATCTAGAAACACCTTGGGACAGAGACACATGGCTCTCCTCCTGATGTTCTCATTGCACAGAGCAAAGCCTGACCCCTTCAGTGAGTGGTAAGATACAGGCCCACTTTTCTGACCCACCACAAAGCCTCAGTACAATGTCGCTCTGGAAGTAGGTGAGAACACTGACCCACATCCAAGAGCCTCATCTAAAACACAGTCTCAGCATCCTCAGAGGAGAAACTGTTCCATTTTGTTACTTACCTCTACATCCAGAAAGCCAAAATAGGCACTGAAGAATTTAAAAAGAATAGTGTTGATATTTCCCCACTGTTACAATAGGTAAGTGAGCAAACAGATATTTATTGGGGATGTATTTCTCATCCATTCTTAGGGACAAGGCACTGACAGGTAGAGAAATGGGTAAGTTCAGTCCTCAAAGAGCTTTTAGTGCAATGTCTCACTCAAATCCCAGTGTGCTTATTATAATTCAAAACAAAGTTGTGCATTATTTCATGTGAAATAGCTACAAAAAAACCCCAAAGACTAAGTCCTCAAGGAGCTTATAATCTCAAGAAAATGTAGAACAAACAGATGAAAATTTAGCTTTATCGATACATGCTAGCCCTCTCCAGTGTCTTTTTTCTGATTAGGAAAATGTGCCTTTCCTCCAAGCCAATACATCCCCTCAACAGAACATATGATGTAGCTGGATTTAAGCCCATATCTCCCTCACTAGACATCCTCGTGCAGTGCATAACCCGCAACACATGTAGTACCAGTAACAACTGCTATTCACAGGAAGGGATTGATATAGGATGTGTGAGCCAAGGAATTGATAACATTGGTTGAGTATGAAAAGAAGAAATAACTGCAAGGAAGGCC